AACCAACCCCCCCCCCCCCCACACACACTTATTGCAAGTCTTCAGCAAATAGAAATATCGTGTAACTCTTTTATTACTGACTTGAAAATATGTCCGGTGGAATTTCCTTAAGGTGTTCTTATGTTGATGGTGAAATTTGCCAACACTGGGCGTCTTATAAATACACTGATGTACCAAAAGCTCCATTTGTACCGGATGTAAAATGATCTAGTGAACTCTTGGTATCCTTTTTTTAATTCCCTTTCCTCCACTACAGATGGACACTGGCTTGTTTTTGTGGGGTTTGTCATCAGAATGAGGCTGGACGTTTTAGCTTTTTGTGGGTTTAGGGCTTCTGAAACTGAACTGAAAAAATAACTGCTAAAACCAGAGCACTGAAATGTCTGTCTGCTAGTTTAAATAAACAATACATTGCATGGTCTTCAAAGATACAAAGGAAGGGGAAGGAATAGCATGTGATGGGTGAAGCAACTTACCTAGCTTCTCTTTCAGAGTACTGAAAAATTAATTTGAAAGTCAAATGTAAGGAGAAAGACTTGGATTATCTGTAGGCAGACGATATCTTTCAGTCTGAAGAATAGCTATAGAATTAGATAGGTAAAGTCATCTTCTCTGTGTGAGATACAACACTTGCATCCTGTGCTTGCCTTTATAAAATCTTACACGTGTTTCTAGAAGTGCCATGTGCGTTCCTGTGACCTGGCTATGTTCCTATCTAATTTCATTGATAGGAAACCTCTAAAAGTAGCTTATACCAAATCCCCTTTGTGTTGCCCCTATGGTTTTTGTTCATTATGGGGCAAGAGGGTCCGTACTTAGTTATGAAACTGCTGTTTGGACTTCCAAGACCAAAACAGATCTTTTCAGAAGCTATAGCCCAAGTTTCTGCGTGAAGAACTATAACAGCTTTCACTCCCTTCCCCCACCTCCCCTAAAAAACAAAAAACAAAACAAAACAAAAAAAAACCCTTATGCAATGCCAGGTTTTATTGACTTAACCTGGTCTGGTGTAAGTGCTCTGGCTTTCAAAGCATTTGGATATATTTAGAACAGGTGAATTAGACGATAGGCTGTCCACCACATATTCTATGGATCTGTTCTCAGATGTACTTAAGGGAAAATAGGTTACTCTTTATTTTCCATGAAACCTTTAAGAACCCAATAAGAAGTCATTCATAAATTATATCATATCACAATACTGGCTTTTAAGCTGAGCTGGGAGCTACTTTGCTACTTGTGTGGCTATTGTGTTGTCTGTGCCACATAATGAATTGAACAATAAGAATTGCAAAGCAATCTGCTCCTTCAGGATGCAGGCAGTGTACAGTGCCAGGTGCAGAGCTGCTGATGACAGAACCACACTATGATTTATTCATGGTGAGAGACTCCAGGATTGTCAGCTTTTTGCCACTGCTCAGAGCAATGTTGGAATATCTGCTAAGCGATCAGGACATCTTGGCGGAGTTATCTAGGTGGCGATTGTCCCTTTTTCTTTAAGAATGTATTTTGGTGTGTGATGAGATATCAAAGTTGTCTTTGGGTCAGAGCTTCTTTTTGTTACGCTTCTGGTCAGCACCTAACCCCGATCCCTGTCTGGGGCCACAGCAATACAAAAATTACAGTGAATCTATGGAAATAATAAATGTTATCAATGCTTTGATGGCTGGGCAGAGCAGCCGTATACACAGACAAACAAATTAAGAATGTTCCCATGGTCAGTATTGAAATTGTATCGTTAGAAACAAAGGCATGACTTGGAGAGCTTGCATTGCTTTGTTTGTCATTTCCACTAGGATAGTTGTCTGTGGTTCCATGTATTTGTTTTTTTTCCTATTTGAGAGGGGTGTGTGATTTGACAGGAAACTCCTGACTTCTGAACCTGACTCTCGTCTCTTCTGTGGCCTTGAGACAATTCTGCCTCGGTTTTTCCTTCCATAAGTGAGGTAAAAATATATGTCTACCTTGCAGGAGCATTGAAAGAACTTTGAAGCATTTTTTAAAAGTTTAACGAGTTGACAATTTAGAAAACTGTACAGTGTTATGCTGAAATTGTTAAAATGATCCAAAGCAGATCTTATGATGCACTATGCAAGTGGGTGGTCTCTGCTTCAAGTATTTTTATTAAGTGTGCATAGTTCACCTATCCTAAAAGAACATGAAGGTTGTGAAGTCGAGCATTCAGACTGACGGCCATGCAAACACAGTTGAGTGCCCCTGTGCATGTAAGTCTTTAGTTACATGATTGTACATTTTTCCCCTCACAGGGACCCTGGCATCATTTATCATATAGGATTGCCCGGCATTAGAATAAATCTAGGTTCGATAGTGAGGGAAGTTTTTGTTTATAGGGGGCCTGCCTCACTTGTTGCAGAAGTTGGAGTGTACCTAGTGAAGACTGCAGGAAGGGGTAGGGTAAGGTGATCAAATGCTATCCAGAATAATTGGATTCTGTCCCTCCTCCTGCCACAGCTTTGTTTTGATGCTACGTAAGTCACTTAGACTGCATGCCTCCCTCTCAACCTGTCTCTCATCTTTTCCCCAGAGCTGGCTCTTTATCCTAGTCCCATTGTTTTACCTGTCCAGTCCTATTCTTTACTTCTTGAAGAATCTGTTGGATGTGGAAAGAGTAAAGGTGGGAAGACAGTTGGCCCCTAGCTTCTCATCTCAATCTCCTTCCCTAGCAAGTCCAAGTTTCAGCCCTTTAGAGTCCATGCTAGTGCTAGTTTCTGATTCCTGTCCCTCAGCTTGTCCTCCAATCTCTCTCCTTACACATGGTCTCCTGCCAACACCACAGGTTCCCATTCCCCACTGCTTTCCAGTTCCCTCCTGAACTCTGTCCAGCCCAGTGACTTCTTCCTGCTGGATTTCTGTGTCCAGTCTAGGTGCCCTAGGCAATGCCAGGGCACCTAGACTCTTCACTAGATCTGTTTTCTCCACCTCATTTTTCCTCCCGTCTGAGTCCAAGTCCCTGTCTCCTTGCCTAGCTGGCTTCAGTCCCTCTGCTACCTCTGGTCCTTGTCCTATCTCCGTTCCCTTCTCCTTAGTCTACTGGTTCCCCATCTCACTTCCCTTACCCAGACAGTCCCAGACCTACTTTCCTTCCTCTGCTTGCCGAACTCCAGTCCCAGTCTCCTCTTACCAAGGCTCCTTGTCTCTGTCTATTCTCCCTTCTGTTCCCTTCTCCATTGCTTGTCCCATCTATGGTTTACTTCCTCCTTTATTTTGGGAAGAGGCACCAAGGCAATGAGACAGCTTGGATCCTGGAACCTGGCATGGCCCACAAGAGCCCAGAGCTGTCATTGCTGGATGAATTCTGCTCAGCCCATGCCAGGAACACGCACACAATGAGCAGAGCCTTGAGGGAGTTTAGCTCTTAAAATATCAGTAGCATATACGTGTGCCAACTGCAATTTTTCCAACTTGCAACTGAGCTACATTTTCACAGATATTCAGGGGTGTGGCAAAAAGCTCACACTTATTTTTCACCTCCTTGTCCTTGTCAGATTTTAAACCCCTTCTCTAAACTACAGGCAAGTAAATACTTCTGAGAGAGAAAGGTCTTTGAGATTTTTACTATGGGCTAAACAAGTTATTTTAGGAAATGGACATGTCTTTTTTTTTTTTTTTTGGCTGAAATTTTCCAAAAATTTCAGTCTTCGACTGACACCACAGATGGAAAATTTCAGGCCAGGTGGCTAAAGTTTGGTAAAGCTATAAACAGCATGAAACAATGGAATGTCAGGCAGTCTTTATAATACGCAGTGCTACAAGACTTGCCTATAATATGCCAGCACAGGGGCAGTAGATCTCTTCTGACTTGTTTAGATATGCTATGAGTACCAACAACTTTTGGAATGTGTTGTTTGGTTTCTTAATGCAGATTCCCTTATGTAATGTGAATGCATTTAAATTCACATATATGCGTAACCTCTGAGCCTTCCCTTGGGATGGAGGAATATTCAACTAGGTTAAAGCCCACTAAAATGTCTTTTTGGCAACATGTCAAGGCATCTGTTGTATTGAGGGATTGAAATATCAATTCAACACTATCCAGTACAGCAGTTACTGAAAGAATCTGGTCTCTGGTGGCAAGGCAGCCAGGTACAGGAGGGAAGGAAGTAGCTCTGAGGATGAACATTGTATTCACCTTGTCCAAGTTTGCAAAGGTAGTAAGGGAAAAAGGATCATTTCCTGAATAACCCAGGTTCAGGCTGGATTTGTTACTTGTGCATCTCTTTCAGCATTAGGGCAAGGAGAGGAAAATTTTCCAAACCCAAGGAGTGTCTCTAGGAGTCGCAAGCTAGGCAAGAGGTTATTTACGTTCTTTGCATATATATCCAATATCTTGCCTGCTTTTCTAGGCTTTACGTAGCTTATTTTCTTCTAACTGTATCATGTATGGTCTTTAAAATTACCAAACCTCATTTACCTGCCTTGTGTATGCTGGTAATGATTTCAAGGAATATTGACAATGATGATACAAAAGGGAGGACTGCAGTCAAAAATGCTACCCTGTTGTGCAAGAAGTCTAGCATAATTGACCATTATGCTTTGGTTTCACATTCAAAGGGTTTTTTCTAGGGCAGAAGGAATGCTAACTTATTGGCTAAGAAAAGCAACAAGGTGGTTAGCTTTGTTAATCTGAAGTCAGTCCGAAGCCAGGGTTACACGTGCACCTTTATAGACTACATAAGATGTATTGAGAGAGCACGTGCACATCTGAGGGGGTGAACTGGGGTTCATGAAAGCTTGTCCTCTCTATGTTTCGCATTTAGTATATGAAGGTGCATCTCTATCCTGCCTTCTAAGAAAACCTAAGCCACTAGATTTCTCTTTACTGTCAGCTTGAGGGTCTGCAGCATAGTGGATATGGATTGCCTTGCTGAATTTGGAGAGTGCTTGTCTGTGTCCTTTCATAGAAGTTTAAAAAATAGGACTCTATATAGTTGGCTCACTGCTTTTAAGCTATTGTTTAGAGATCAGGAAGGTACATGAAACTATGCAGCTGTTCTGCTGAAACCAGCATATACCAGAGTTTGAAGACCAGAAGCCACAGAGGTTTGAGTCGTCTTAGTTAAAGGGTTTATAATGGGCCGGAAAATTAATAAATGCTTTCCCTAGTATTTAAACTCATCACATCTGGAATCAAGTACTATGATACTGAGCTATAATGAAACAAGCTTTTGGAATACATTACATATTGTTTGTATTAATTACCACACAATCATGACATCCTATCATTCTCAGAATGACCTTTCTCTTGGTGCAGGAATTTGGGCCTTATCTAATTAAGTCAATAGTAAGATGCCTCTTGGCCTCAGAGCAGCAGCAGAGCCACATACAGCAAGTGCTTATACTTCTCATTAGTGTAGCATGTGCTCTGGTACATGCTGTATTAAATGATTGTTGGTGGTTCTGGCCCCTAATTGTGTGTAAACATAATGCAAATAAACTAATGCAATTGTTATTTTTGCATGCTGACATAGAAATTAGGGGATTTTCAAGCTAGATTCAAAGCTACCTCACAGAAAGCTTTGGTACCAAGGAAGAGATTTTCTGTTATATTTTTGTTCACTTTGCAATGTCTGGGAGCTAAGAATTGAATGCTAGGGGTTTACCTGCCATGTTCTGTGTCATTAGGCAAGTTGTTATACTTGCCAGGAGGGATTTTATGATACTTTAATATTTGAAAACTAAAATTACTATGGGTGATAACTTCATTAATATGTTGATTAGCTCAGATTGTGTTACCTTCCTCTTTCTGCTGTGAAATTATAATCCTGCATCTTGCTGTTGAAATGAAAATTGCAAATATAGGATCGTAGGAAAGTAGGGCTAGAAGGGACCTCCCAAGGTCATCTATACAACATTCATTTAACATCATATGTATGGATGTGACAAAGATGACTTTGCTTCAAAGAGGGCACATGTACATGAGATGCTGACTGTGCAGTAGCTGAATAATATTGTTCAGTAGCGTGTCACAGCACTAACATCGCTACTATGCTACAGTGCAGTATTATTAGGCTACCGTGCGGTAGCGTCACTTAAAAGGCATTTGCCAGCACTACTGCACAGTAACTCCAGTTACTGCACATTTATTTAGTACTTGATTATACAAATACTAAATGAAAGCACAGTAACCACTGCGCAGTAGTGTCTTGTGTAGACATTCCCAGAAAGTGATTCACGTCTAGTCCCTATTTAGAAACAATACTCCTTGCATGCCTGTGCCCACTTATCTTGAGGCAATAGCATTGAGACCTACAGATTATAGACCAGTATGCTTCTCTGTGCAGCATGTGTTTATAAGATAGTTTAAGGCCATCATGTGTTTCAATGAAAATAACATTAGTTTATAAAAGAATTCTGTATGTTCTGAAATGGCCCCTTGCACTTAATTTACAACAGGTGAGATTTTAGCGAAAGTTCAACTAAAATAACTGTGTGGGCATGTTATTTAAGTAGTCTTCTGATTTGGTTTATGAGAGAATACTTGCAGGAATCAAAAGTTCCCCTGAGCCATGGCCTGAGCCCAAGACCACCTCAGTTCTACAGCCTCCCTGAGCCCCAAGGTAAGTAATTTGCCTTGCTTCTTTTTCCCCCATCTGTAAAATGGGGTCAATGTGACCTATTTCTCCGATGCCTGAGAGGATTCATTGGAGAACGTCTCCAAAGTATTGTGATAATAAAAACACTGTATTTGAGGAAGATCGACTCCTAGTTCTTTGAGGAGTCTGGCACCTGCTGGCTGGAACGGTGCATACGAGCAGGTAAGCGGAGCTGCTGTGGTCTGCAGGCTGAGCCCAGGCCGGGGGTCTTTAAAAGGGACACTTTTTGGAGATGTCACAGCACTCCCTTAGAACACCTGCTGGTTTATACCCAAGCCTTCAAGACTGTGACAACTACTAGCACAGATCAGTTGCATCTGACAACTCTGAGATGGTGGTTTTCAACCTGTGGTCCATGGACCCCTGGGGGCATGCAGACTGTCTAAGGGGTCTGGAAAAGTGGACTATGATCAATCAAAAGTACATGAATACTCACACTTGCAAGTCAAAGGGGTCTGTACCTCCAGTTGAAATTTTTTAGGGGTCCACAAATGAAAAAAGATTGAAAACCACTGCTCTAAGGAATAGGGTTTACTTTTTTTCCCCCACTCAGCCTTCGCGGCCTGCTATTTCATGGGACCCAACCATAAAACTCCTGCATTGCAAATCTTGTGGCGTATAATGCTTGACTATAGGGTCACAGCGTAATTTGTAGCTGGAAACATTTTGCCTTGTTAGACCTTGAAGTTATTCAGGCATGTTTTTTCTCTTAGCGTTGCTGCACCTGACCTCTACGTGGCCTGGTGCCTAGTGGGAGGCTTAGCTCCGAGTGGTACCCAGGCTTCCCACGATGGGGATGGAGAACGTGGAGCGGATGGCAGTTATCCTGAGACGCTGGAACGCTGAGGGGAAAGTCACTTAAGTCAAGGAGGAGCAAAATGCTGGGGAACTTGAGCGTCAGCAGCTAAAGCCTCCGTGACAGTCTGCAAGAGAAGAAACCAGATGGATGAAAACTTCAGAAGTTGGAACAGGCAATGATGTGTCAAACATTAAGTGAAGTGACGATGATGATGATGACAAAAGGTTATTAAAAAAAATCAAATCTTCTGCAGTGGGTTGAAGTAATCCGTCATGGTTCCCGCACGGTGGAGCAGGTGGTCCATAGCACTGGGCTGGGGCTGCTCCTTCCCTTCGGCCCCACAGCCGAGGACCAGCTGAGGGAGCCAGGGATGCTTAAAGGGGGTGAGTGGGGCTGCGCAGTCCACCCGGGGCCTTACACTCTTCCGCCCGGACCGAAGATGGCGGCGAGAACCATTGCCCACAGCCTATGCGGGGTCGCGCCCCGGAAGCGGAAGCGAGCGCGCTGCCCCGGAAGCGGCGGTTGTCCGTGGAGACCAGGCCGCGAGGATGTTGCTGTGGGCGGCCTGGCTGGGCGCGGGGCTGCGGCTCCTGGCGGCGACGGCGGCGGAGGCCGAGGAGCCGCCGCGCTACAAGACGGCGGAGATGGCGGACGCGATGCTGGGCGGCGCCGCG